TCTCCTTTCCCTTAAGTGCCTCATTCTCCCCAGGAATAGTATAAAGTGTTTCTTGTAGAGGAAAGTTTAACCCTCACCACAAGCATATGGATACTCTGAAACACAAATCTAAAAATGATACTTAAAACTCATCCTTTCTCATTTCCTACCCATATATTCCATTCCTTTGTCCCTTCCCTATGATTTTGAGAAATAAAAAACTTAACAGTGGCTAAAGAACTGAGTAAACAGTAGGAACCTATTCATTCATTCACTAAAGATCACTGAGTTCTACATATACTATGTTGCAGGCTCTGTTCTAAGCACTAAGCAAACATTAGTGAACAAAGCGAAATTTCTACATTTGGAGCTTATATTCGAATGAGTAAGATACAAATAATAAGTGAATAAATGATATATAAATTGGTGGTAGGTGTTATTAAGAAAAATACATGGGGCACCTGGGTGGCTCAGTTGGTTAAGTGACTGCCTTCAGCTCAGGTCATGATCCTGGAATCCCGGGATCGAGTCCCGTATTGGGCTCCCTGCTCAACGGAGAGAGTCTGCTTCTCCCTCTGATCCTCCCCCCTCTTGTGCTTTCTCTCTCTCTCTCTCATTCTCTCTCTCAAATAAATAAATAAAATCTTTAAAAAAAATACAGTGGTACATGGAGAAGGAGTGACTGGTCTTGCTATATTGTGCATTAATTTTTATATGTCCCATAGCCTAGCCCTCAATACATTTTTGTTGAATGAACAAATGTATTAAGACATCTCTATAGTATCTTCTGTCTCATTGGTAACAGTGATGATACTGTAGCTAGTGAGAATTATCTAAACACAATGTCTGTGAATTCTGAAAAGTTAGGGTAGTAGCATTAAAGATTAGAATAGTGAAAATAAAAATCAAATTTCTGGCATTCAACCAAATTAGAGTAAGGGAAGACCAAGAAAGTTAGATCATACAGGAGAACCAAAAGGAAGAGGCTAGCAGGTCTGTACTCTTTTTCTTCTTCTTCTTTTTTTTTTAAGACAGGGAATACTTTATTCAAATCCATCAGAGAAATAGACAACTTGGGTCTATAACAAGGCGTTGTGTTTTAAAGCACAGGTCAGTAATTGTATATGAGAATATACACTGCTACGTACAGATTAACTGATCAGAGCACAACTTTTCAATGCTCAAAACAGAATAAGCTTCCCTGTAAAAGCAGCACCTCTGTGTCATTAACTTTACTATTCCTCTCCTTTCTTCTTCACCCTCTCCTTCCAACAGAATCCACACCAACTTCCTTATAATCCTTCTCAAGGGCAGTCATGTCCTCGCGGGCCTCAGAAAATTCTCCTTCCTCCGTGCCCTCACCCACACCAGTGAACAAGGCCCTCTTGGCATACATCAGGTGATACTTGTGGTCCAGCAGATCCCAGGCCTCGGCCACGGCCATGTGGTGTTCCTCAGCATGCACACAGCTCACTGTACTTGAACCAGGCCTCCACCAGGTACCACAGTGGGAGGCTGGTAATTAATGCCAACTTTGAAGCCAGTAGGGCACCAGTCCACACACTGGATGGTATGCTTGGTCTTGATGGTGGCAGTGGCAGCATTGACATCTTTGGGAACTGTGTTTCAGCAAGACATGTATTTACCATGGCGAGGGTCATATTTCACCATCTGGTTGACTGGCTCAAAGCATGCGTTGGTGATCTGTGCAACAGAAAGCTGTTCATGGCAGGTTTTCTCAACAGAGATGACATGGGCATATGTGGCCAAGAAGTGGATACAGAGATTGGGCATCAGGTTGGTCTGGAATTCTGTCAGATCTACATTCAGGGCTCAATCAAATCTGAGGGAAGAAGTGATGGAGAAAACAATTTGACCTATCAACCTGTTTAGGTTAGTGTAGGCTGGGTATTCAATGTCAAGATTTCTCCAACAGATGATAGCCTTGTGAGGTTTCCCTTGTATGTTATTGTTTTCTCTTGCTTCTTGTAAAATTCTCTATCACTACTTTTTGCCATTTTAATTACTGTGTGTATTGGTGTGGACTCTCCTTAGATTGCTTTTGTTAGAAGTTCTCTGTGCCTCCTGGATCTGGATTTTTGTTACCTTCCCCAGATTCAGGAAGTTTTCAGCTATTATTTCTTCAAATAAATTCTCTGCCCCCTGTTCTCTCTTCTTCTGGGACTTCTATGTGAATGTTTATATGCTTGATGGTATCACTAAGTTCCCTGTTTTCATTTATTATTACTTTTTCTCTCTCCTATTCAGCTTGACTGCTTTCCATTACTCTGTCCTCCAGGTTGCTTATCCATTCTTCTGCTTCTTCTAGTCTACTATTTATTCCATCTAGTGTATTTTTAATTTCAGTTATTGTGTTCATCTCTGATTGCTTCTTTCATACGTTTTTTATCTCTTGAGTGTCCCATTAAGGTCCTCCATTCTTTTCTCAAGTCCAGTGAGTATCTTTATGACCGTTACTTTAAATTCTCTATCATGCATATTTCTTATCTCTGTTTCATTTAGTTTCTTGCTGTGATTTTGGACTGTTCTTTCATTTGGAACATATTCCTCTGTCTCCCCATTTTGTCTGACTCCCTGTGTCTGAGTGTTTGGAAAGTCAGCTACGTCTCCTGCTCTTGAAAGTAGTCGCCTTATAAAGAAGAGGTCTTGGAGTGCCCTGTTCACCAGAACTTCAGGGTGTTTCTTACGTGTATTGCATATGCGCTGCGGTTGTAACTGAGCTGCCGTTGCATTAGTCCAGTCATGGCTCTCTCCTCCCATTGTGGACAGGGTTTGGTCCCTATGTTGTTGTTGTGCCAGTCTGGGGCCACCTTGGGCTTGAGTCAGAATCAGGCATTTGCCAGAGGTGTGGTAGCACTGAACTGCTGGATACTTCTCCTTGTGTTATCTAGGTGGATGATGGAATGAGGTGAGCTTAGGGTTCTCCTACTCCACCATCTTCCCTGAAGTTGCTGTTATTATTTACATTGCTAAGCCCAGTTAATGGGAATGTTTTTTTAATCCAAAATTATATGATCAATTAATTTATGACAAAGGAGGCAAGAATATACAATGGGTAAAGACAGTCTCTTCAATAAATTGTGTTGGGAAAACTGGAGAACTACATGTAAAAGAATAAAATTGGACCACTTTTTAAAACCATAAACAAAAACTCAAAATGGATTAAAGACCTAAATGGGAAGGGGTGCCTGGGTGGGTCAGTTGGTTAAGCATCCAGTTCTTGATTTCGGCTCAGGTTATAATCTCAGGGTTGTGAGATTAAGCCCCGGGTCGGGCCCTATGCTCAGGGGTGTCTGCTTTTTACCCTGTCCCTGCCCCTCTCCTTCTGCCACCCCTTACCCCCGCCCCACACGCACGGACTCTCACTCTCTCAAATAAATAAATCTTTAACAACAAAAAAAGACCTAAGTGGGAGTATATTTTAATACTAAAAAAGGTGAGAAGATATACTCAACACTCCACTGATCATATCTGCAACATTAACCAGGTTTTTCAAACCACTTAACTTAAGCCTTTCTACCGACCACTTTGAACTAACTGCAGGCTCAAGCTTTCTGGAAGGGAGGAGAAAGCTTTTTTCAAATAAGCTCTTTAAACTTAAGTGGTGCCACAAAATACCACAAAGTACCACAAAAATATATAGTTAATCTTTCCATTCCTGTTTTATGAAATAATCAAAATCAAATTTATGTAAGCTGTTTTCAGTCCTTACATCTAGCATTTTCCCCTTCTAATAAGTTCATAGTTTAATCAACAATCTCTATTTATAGTCAAATCTAGGTAAAGATTTTAAAAGTTGTTGTTTTGGGGAAGCATTTCCTGCCCATTATAACATTTTTGTTAGAAATAGAATTTTTGGTGGTAACTATAACATTTTATCAGGAAAAAGACTATAGAAACAACTTCTGGAACCATTTCAAAACAGAATCCCAAAGACAGTATATTAATGTAGTGATAAACTCAAAGATATATTTCTACATTAATAAAATATGCTTTCTAAATTAATCTCAAGTCTGAGCCAGACAGGGAATGATGGAAAGCCTGAATTCTATACCCACATAATCAACAGTCTGTGGAAACTGGGAATCATGCCATTGGTCTCCAACTTAGCACAGTTGAGAAATGGCATTCTTTATGAAGCACTCATCCAGGAAATGAGTGGGTCAAAAAGCACACCAGTAAAAGGTCCATAAACTTGTTTTATGAATGAAGTATAAAGTGTACTGGCTCCAAGCTGTAGCATGTTTATGAGTACATCATAATTTTTCATTCTACTGTTTTTATCATGTTAATAGATATATATAACAGAATGGTAACAGGAAAAAATAATCCTGTCAGCCATCAGAATACTGTCCCATGCCATTTCATATTTATAATTTTTTTCCATATGTGCTCCCATTCTACGTATCTTCCCCCGCCCCCCCACCAAAAAATAAAATGATACACACACACACACACACACACACACACAATGCAAACTTAAACTAATAAAATTTATTCGTACTACCCATGAAAAGCAATTACATTTGTGTACATAAAATCATTAACACACAGAACAAGAGAAATCTGATTAGACACAATACAGAAAATAAATGTGAAAATTAAAAATAGCATAGTTTAGTTATTAAATTTATACTGTACTTTCTACTTATTTATAGCAGCATCTGTAAGATTCCTCTATTTGTTAATAGTTAACTAGCAGCAAAATTTTTAAAATTACACAAATTCAGTAGATGTTTCCCTCCACTGCTTCATTCATACAGAATTTATCACATTAACCAAACAAAACCACTTCTTTTTCCTGAAGAAAAAGGTAGGAAAAGATTTCATAAGTAACCAGTTTCCGCCAAGAAGAAGAAAGGGGAAAGAAATTTGCATGCCATTACCAAAAGATAAATTCTCAACCCCTTGACCAATTGTGGGTGGATTTTGTGGAGTCTCTGTGTATGTGTTAGTGAATGAAGCTCTGTTAACTTTATTTTCTGACTTTTATCTTGCAGTTGAAGAATATGTGGAAGTTTCCAGGGGGCCTGTCAGAGCCTGGAGAAGATATTGGTGTGGACACCTTCCATATTTTTAATTGGCTTGAAAATGTTCAGGAAATTTGTGTTTACTTTTTTTGTTCTATAGCTGAAAATAAGATTTTAAATTACCAAGTGAGAAATTTCAGAGAGGTTACTTCAGGGCTAATATAAAATTAGCAGTAAAACTTGTAATAGTACAATTTATCCCACTAATATAAAAAATACCACTAGGAGCATGCCACCTATTCTGTTTAGGGTTGCTTCTAGATTAATTTGTTTGAAAATAAAAAGCTTTGCATATACATTAGTAAAGTTTAGCATTAAGGGTTATTTTGGATATGACTAATAGTGTTTCTGGAATTAAACTATAAGAAAACACAAATTCTTGACCATTTCACCACAAGGATGAATAGTAACTTTTAAATGAACCTCAAAATAAGTATTCATAAAGTCAGTTACAGAGCAGTAGTGACTTAATGCTCCCCTATAAAAATTTTATCTACTATTTAAATAGTCAGGAAGCCAAAACATAGTAAAATGTCTCATACAAGGAAGTCTCAAGTGAGAGTTCCCTAAAGCAACTTCCTGAGCTCAATATTTCAAACAGGGAAATGTGAAATAAGCTAAGAACTCTCCATGTTACTGAATTTACAGTAAATAGAAGAAAGAATAAAAACGTAGTTTTCCTACCTATTCTTGACCCTTGGTTGGGTCAAATGCAGTCTGCATCATAATAAATCAATAGATGCCTCATTTGATATCAGTACTATTTCTCCATGATTTTTTCCTCCATATGCATGTCCCCTATTTAGCCAACATTTATATATAAAGGCACCTTCCTAGGTTATCTTTAAATATTTAAAAATGTATACATACTTGAAACTTGATTTTTTAAATGTTACACAGATTAAAATGCCGTATACACAGTACATAGTCAACTCCTAACAAGCCATAAGTAAATTTCCTACACTAAGATAAATCCGTAGCAAATTTTGGCTTTTAGGTACTTACGGATCTTCTGCCTAGAGTCCCTTGCTTGGGTCTTCTGTTGAAATAAAAGATTTTGTGGTGGTACAAGTGCTGAAAGAGAGGGCCATTTATTTTGGAACACCTAATTAATCTCACACTATCCTTATGTGATATATGAGTGTGTGAGCTAGTTAAATTTATGTCTTACACCCTTACCCAATCCATATGGGGCAAAAATCAAGCTACAGGAGGTATGTTTAGCTTCCTCTTCTGCATCTTGACTTCACAAATGAATTGACTTTTTCCTTTTGAGTTTTTAACAGATCTTGTGAATTTTCAATATACTTATATTGTAATGCAAATGAAGAAGCACATTTCCAAGCCAAGTGTGCATAGTTTCAGGTTTAAGTGTACTCCAGAATGCTTCAAGTCCAGATTAAAAAAAAAAAAAAAAGTGAATTCTGAATTCAGTGATTGTGGTTGGCACAACAACCCCCCTGTTCAGCCATGAGGAGTTACAAGGAAAGCAGCAACTGGCATTCATCGTACTGCTTAGTAGTAGTATTCATTAAAGCTTTGCCTTAGGAACTGCCTGAAAGCAGCTAGAAGTGATAACTGACAACAGAGTTCTGAAAGACTATGTCTGTCTATATTAGAGCATTTCTGTCTTATAACACAATAGATTAGATTATTCTTAACGATGAAGTCTGTTACCCAATAATTATCAAAATTATTTTCTTTAAGCTCTGTATTTAGAAAAGTATGTAATGTACTTTAGGAATACAGCCATCACAAATGTGCACACATTCATATTAGCTCTTAAGTAGTAAACACTAGTTAACTGAAAAACACGTTTGTTTGGAATCCTTCATTCTTTGATAATACTAGGTAAATGAAGCACTATTGTCCATAGTGCTTAAAAAAATTAAGGGGGGGCATATACAAAGTAGAATGCAATCTTCAGGCTTTAATATAATACCCTAATAGTACGAAAGTATCTACAAGGTTAAAAACAGAGAAATTGCCTTCCTAAAAAAATTTCATTACCATTGACAGGAAGAGACTCTCCTGCGTGGACAAAGGACCATAAAGCAGTGGGGTCTGCTCAGAGCTCATCAGTGCACCAGAAGCAGAGGGAAACACCAGGAAAACCCACCTTCTGCACAATCTTTCCTATTTTATTTCAACCTAATCCTATTGTTAAATATTACAAAGTAGAAATAACAAACTCCATTTCACTGTCCTGTAACTAAACAAAACATTGGGACATATTTAAACATACCTCTCAATCAGCAAAAATAAAAACAAAACCCTCTTGGTTTTTTCCTATGTTCTTTAAACATATAAAACAGTAAATGTTATTTCAGTTCAGCTTACAGTACATTAAAATAAAGGACAACAGAATAAAGCAGTTTATCTGCATAAAAAATTTTTTTTTTAATTCTTGGCAAAAAAGCCTTGGGGTAAAGATTTCCATCTTGAGGTGGAAGGAATCATTCATACCCTGGATGCAAAAGCACTTATTTACCCATTCGATTTCTAGTCTAGTCAATGATAGGCTGATTCAAGTTAAATTGATCAAACTACCAGGCAGTGCTGATTTCCAATCAACTGCTCAGGTGGACAGCTGAGTAGGGTAGATCAACTCACTAGTCTGTCCTGTGCCTCCATGATACATAAAAAGGCTAGACTCCAAATGAAATGCCAAACTCTGGATTAGTGGCACTAAGAGTTTAACAGAACCCCCATGGGTATTTTTCAAAGCGTTGAAAGAGTAAAACATTTAAACAATAGTTAAGTGAAATCAGCAAATGATGTCTAAAATTTAAGACTAGTGCCAAATCTGTAACAAATTAAATAACGTGTTCCAAGCTGAAAATTATTTTTTTTATTAAGGAAGATTTTCCTTTTACTCACAAATTCTTTTATGTTTTTAGTTTAAAACAGTTAAGTTCTAACCATGTTTAATCTATGGCAAATCTCAAGGGAAGGGGAAGTCAGCATGTAATTCAAAATGGCAGACAAATGTCTTACATTTTAGAACACTTTGCTTTTCCTGTGCATATTTCCAGAGCTGTTTCTTAGGGGGGGGAAAACCCACAAGCATATGTAGGCAATGAAGACAGTCTACAGTCAGAATATGTGGAAATTGAGACTTTTTTCCCTTGACTTCCCCCTCCTTGCCTATTCTTCACCAGTAGGACTACTGAGAAGGCAAATATAATTTTCTATTTGACAAACGAAACAGAAGCATTGAATAGAGGTCTTTGAACAAAAATCTATGCCTGTAGCAATTGTGAAATTGGGAAGCTTCCAGCAAACTTGAGCAAAGAAGGCAGCTTTTTAAAGGGTTTTTCTCATGAACACTTTGGGAGATGGTGACAGAGCATCACAAAATTAGAGAAAGTCCATTTAGGGGGTTCTTCTGGAGATTTAGAAAAAGCAACCACAAAAACATTAATGGCAATCAAAATCTTGCTCCAGAAATTTGCATAATATTGAAAAAACCCTTATAAAATGTGAAACCCTTGTTGTATTATAAAATTCTGTAAACTGCAAGGTTTTTTTTTTAATACTTTTGATAAAATAGTTCTTTAGAATCTCAAGAAACAAAAGAAATGCCAAAAACTACCATACTGGGATTCCACTGACAGGATAACTAAGGGAGCATAACAAAATGGTTATAAATGAAACTGCTCTAGGATGTCAGAGGCTTGACAGCCCCACCCAAGATCACTGGGAAAGCTTTGAACTGTTCACAGCTCAATACATTCTGCAGCTCTACAGACTTTTGTAAGGAGGAATGAATCACTTTTTTTCAATACTGATATGTTTAAGTTTAGGCAGTTTTGATGGATGATCACAAACAGGATAATAATGAAGAAATACGTAGGAATATTAACTGCAGGGACCTATGTTTTCAATTTTTGGGAAATAAGAGTCAGAAGAGGTTAAAAATGTGACCCCCAAAATACACAGCTAGGTAAGCCTATAAATAGCCAAAGAAATATTCAATATTTCAAAAGCTTCTAAGACGTACAGTGGTAAGAAAATAGTTTGGTGTTCCAGGATGTCCAGATGGCAGAGTTTATGTTGAATACTTCCCTAGGATGAAGTTTTTTGCTTTTCAATCTTTAGATAATGCTACTCTATCTGAAAATCTTTGATGATTAAAATTCTAAAAATGTGATCCTTACTGATTTGTACATCTTTCTTTTATGTAGGAGACACAGCAGTTCGAGAAGTTTTTGAAGAGACTGGTATAAAATCAGAATTCAGGTCCCTCCTGAGCATCCGGCAACAGCACACTGATCCCAGAGCTTTTGGGAAATCAGATATGTATATCATCTGTCGCTTAAAGCCACATTCATTTACCATAAATTTTTGCCAGCATGAATGCTTAAGGTGTGAATGGATGGATCTCAATGACCTGGTCAAGACTGAAAATACAACTCCCATCACCAGCAGAGTTGCTAGGCTGCTGCTCTATGGGTACAGAGAAGGATTTGACAAGATTGATTTCACCGTGGAAGAACTTCCGGCAGTTTACACAGGCTTGTTCTATAAACTCTATCACAAGGAACTGCCAGACAATTACAGAACCATGACAGGAATGGATTAAATCCTTTTCATGTTTTAAAAAATTTTAAGTAAATTGTACATGGAGAATAATGTGTGCCATATTATAAAAAGTAGTGGACATTTGGGGTTAACTAAATATCTGACTTTAATTTTCTAGTGTGTATAATTTTCATGAAGAAAACTTGTTTGACGAAAACTTGCAAATTTATAAGCCTCTTTTCAAATGAAGCAAATGTATGAAAAAGATTGTAGCTCTCTGTAAGCTTCACTGGATAAAGGCAAATGCAATGCAAAAGGTGGAAGTCTATATATTTTCCAGGAATTTTTGTTGCTTTTCTTTAGTAAGGCAATGGTTAAATATTTACTATTAGAAAAAAGGTTATCTGACCATCCATGCCAACTGAGCAGATAGCTGTACACATTTTTTTCTTTTCTTTCATTAACAAATTTCAAAAATATACGTCGTCTTTCATGTGAAATGAGATCAGATGCTGCCGTTAAGATCAGCTCTTAGCAGACATAGGAAGAAAAAGTATAGCTTTCTGCCCAGGTCCTGTTTTGGGTCCAAGTTTATACTGCCCAGTTCGTTTCAGTGCCACATACCAACTGGAGTATTTCCTTGACCGGTAAGTATTGTAGTTATTAGATTCCAATCGTTCAAAAAAGAAACACTCGTCGGTAACACATTTCTGAAAAATAAAGGAAGAATTCGTAGTTACTTTTATATTTTCATATGAAATACTTATGACACTACACTGCCCGTTCTGCTCAACCAAAAGCGGTGCTCTTGGCTTCAGCAGGAGAGTCAAACTAGTTTGCAAGATTCAACAGACCGAAAGTCTGACAGAATTTAGCTCTGCAGAGGGATGTGGGAAGGAACACAGCAAGTCAGCAGGAGAGCTTTCAGACACATCTCTTAGAGGAAGAATCCAAGGACCATTCTCCAGCCCCCACATGGGACAGACCAGGTGTCAGGCAGCAAGAGCACACACATGCGCTGGGAACCACACTGCCTTGGACTTGAAACATCCCATGAACACAGCTTTCACAAAGGGGGATACATCCAGTAACAAAGGGCACAGTACACTTAGTGAAACCCAGAGCTGTGGCTTCCAGCTAGGTACTTATGGTACATCCATATTCCTCCCAGTCCAGAGGCAGGTTACCAATCAGAGATCACTTTTACTTTTATCAGGGTTCCATGAAAGTGATGGCAAGGGTAACCCAGAGGTAACCTTCCTAAAGAAGGGTTTTGTTAATACTTTACTCACAGAAACAGAACCAATTCCTTAAATTATAGCAATTTTTTTCCCTCGTGTTTACCCTAAGGCATAAAAACAATAGTTTATTGTACAGAAAATAGCTAATGTATATAATGCCCCAAAATTGTACTGGAACATTATATGATTAGTATTCTCAAAACACTAATAGATAATGAAGAATAAGTAACGTAGACCATATTGATTTCTGGCAGTGTCTTTCTTGTGGGAAAGGAAACTATTCTCCCTTTTTATTTCAGTTCAACTCTTTCTGGGGGGTCAGGGATAGCTAGATTCACAAATACTTAGACCTGGAAATACTATTCCAAGTAATGGAGTCTAAGAGGCTGCTACATTATTTCACATAAATGTTCAAAAATCAACTTCACAGGATAGACTGATGATAGTTACTGACCTCTGGGGTGTGTGTTGGGTGGGGGAGTGTCAACAAATGATTTACTTTAAGGGAAGAAAGGAAAAATTATTTTTTATATTACAATTAGGAAGAAAATTATAAACTCATATAGAAAACCATATAAATCTACATATTTGTATCTCTACATATAAATACAATATGTACACATAGATATATGACATAAGCCTATAATTTTGTATTAGTGTACCGGATTCCAGCTTATTTCTATATACTCAAATCTAGGAAACTTCAGGTTTAATAAAACACTTTCAAAAGACTTGAATCTTTTCCCAGATTCTTTAGTTCTAAGATAAACTAAACAGTGGCACAAACTGTGAGAAAAACATAAATCAATAAACAGAACAGTGAAAAGAGCTGGCATAATAACCAAAATGAAAATGATCTAAATGTGAGTAACAGGCATCTCAGTCATGTAAAGTAAGGGTGTGATATTAGATCTTGTAATCTGCTACAAGGGATAAGAATTTTACCGGATATTTACTTGGCTTTAACGTTTTGATCAGTGTTAACTTTTTAAAAATGGAAATACAAACATCTAATTTGCCCGTTTTTTGCAAGAAATTACTAATAAAGCAACTTAAGTCCTCATGCACATCAATGACAGGTAGCATTACAGAGAAGTATACATTGCACAAGGACCCAGCTATGTGATACATGTAAAGATAAAAGTGTGGTAACAGTGAAACACTTACACCTAGAAAAATGTGGCTATTCCGTAGACAATACTTTCACCTTACCTTTGGTGAAATTTATTGTGCTTTTCATATTAACAGAAGTCATCCTGTGTTACTTTATTTTGTCACTTTTCAGTGCCCCTGATAAAAATTTTCCTCTTTCCCTATTCTAGGTTTAAGATCAGGAGTAGAAGAAGCAGGCACAAAGAGTGAAAAAAATCATAGTGATCATAAAGGTAACATGAATGGTCATCACTGAGCTTCACAGGCTAGTTCCCCAGAGGGAGACTTAAGCCACATCATTCAGTCATCATTCTGGACATTGATTTTTGAGTGTTGGGTGCCCTACCTTGCTAAGCTGGCATTCCCTACAATGCCTGGCCTATTGAGATACATACCATGCCAACAATATCTGCCTTCTCAGCCAGTTCCTAGTACTTCAGAGAAAAGCAAAAGTACCAGTGATTAAGTAGATAATACATCATAAAACCACTTTTTTTTTTTATAGAAGTTACTTGTATCTTTACAAAAACAAAGGGGAGAGGAGGAAAACTTGCATCTGTGCTGAATGTTCAGATACATAAATTTACTAAACTATTACACACTTGAAAACAAACTACAGGGGCGCCTGGGTGGCTCAGTTGGTTAAGCGACTGCCTTCGGCTCAGGTCATGATCCTGGAGTCCCGGGATCGAGTCCCACATCGGGCTCCCCGCTCAGCGGGGGGTCTGCTTCTCCCTCTGACCCTCTCCCCTCTCATGCTCTCTGTCTCTCAATCTCTCTCTCTCTCAAATAAATAAATAAAATCTTTAAAAAAAAAAAAAAAGAAAACAAACTACATTTTTTCCAAATGGGTGGTAGGGCCAAAATTCAGCTTTCAAGTAAAGCAGGCATTTAACAGCCCCAATATAAGTACAATTTTCAAGCCTTTCCATCCTAAGTTTACAAGTCATTATTAATGACTGTGATCTCAATGTTCATGTTAAAAGTGAATGCAATATAATTTTTGCTTATCTTTATAAACATTTACAGAGCTTTTTCCCTATTCTCAATGTTTAACTGCTCACCTTTTCAAACTTATAAGAAAAGGGGGTCCTCAGAGGAATGACATCACAGAGGAAGTGGATAAGTAGTTTCTAAGGGCTTATAACACTTGTACCCTGCCTTTGAGGCCTTATTTTATATAGGCCAATGAGCTGGGAAATTCCTTAATCATGGCTTTTGACCTCTTTCATGCATATCAGTTAAATATCACAGCAATCCTGTGACATAATTAGCCTATACACATTATCTAAAACTCCATGCTATTAGTAGCTTACTTCAGATTGTGGATACTCTCTGCCCATGTATCTAGTCTGACACCTTTTCATAAAATTAAATTTTCATTTTTTAAAACTTAAGAGTAAGGGGCGCCTGCATGGCTCAGTCGGCGTCTGCCTTTGGCTCAGGGCATGATCCCAGGGTCCTCCGATGGAGCCCTGCATCGGGCTCCCTGCTCCGCGGGAAGCCTGCTTCTCCCTCTCCCACTCCCCCTGCTTGTGTTCCCTCTCTCGCTGCCTCATTCTTTCTGTCAAATAAATAAGTAAAATAAAAAATAAATAAAAAAAAATTTAAGAGTAATTTGGGGATATATAAAGCATACAATTCAAGTGATGTATTCATTCATTTAATGCATAGCTTGTCTTCCAGGCGCAAGGATACATCAGTGAACTTTGTGCCATTCAAATTCCAGCTGGGGAGACACACAATGAGCAATAAGCATAACTAAACAAGTTACATGTTACAATATGATAAATCCTGTAAAAAAAGGTAAAGCTGAGTAGGATAAGAGGGATTAGGAATGGTGGGGTGGAGATTAGGCTGCAATATTAAGTAGCACAGTCACAGTAAGCTCCAGTGAGAAACTGACATTTGAGCAAATACTTGAAGGAGTTAACTATCCAGCTATCAGAGAAGAGAGAGGGACTAGCCAGTGCAAAGCCCTTAGAGTAGGACCAGGCCTAGGATGTGTGAAGGGTAGTGTACGAAGCAGAGGGTCTGAAGGGAAGAGTAATTGGAAATGAGGTCAGAAAGGTACTGGGATAGGAGGTGTGAAGGCTATTGTAAATATTTAGCTCCTACGCTGAGAAAATGGAAAGCCATGGTAGGATTTTAAGCAGAAAAGTGGAATGATCTGACATATTTTTCCAGCATAACTTTGGCTGCCAAAACTACGCAGGGCCAAAAGCAGATACAAAGACACTGTTAGAGGCTTGCTCGGTAACTTAGGCAGAGACAGTGGAGACTTGGACCACAGGGATGGCCGCAGAGATAGTAAAAAGCTGTCTGCATCTGGATATATTTGACAGTAGAATCAACAGGGTTTCCTGACAGATTGGACATGCAGTACAAGAGAAATAGAGGAATCAAGGATGACACTAAGGTTTATGTTCTAGAATGTGGACTTGCCATCAACTGAGACAGGGAAGGCTATAAGTGGGAACAGGTTTTATGGGGAAAGATGAGGAAGTCAGTTTTGGACATGTTGAGTTTGAGATGAATATTAGACATTCTAACGAAGATAATGTGTACTGACCACATACTATACAACAGACACGTCATTTAACCTCCCCCCACCTTCCTAATGCTAACAGCCACAGAATTGGCAGTTGAAAAGTTCTCATTTAATGTGTTAAGTTACAATAATTCCAATGAGCTAGTCTCAATTCGAAAAGGTATGGAACCTAAAAAGGGAATGTAGATGTACATGTATGAGAGTAATATAAACCTGTCAGGTGTTAGTGGTAGTGCACACCACAAGACCTCTTTGAAGGCTGTCCACATGAACCAGCTAAGCTCATGGTCCTAAAACATTTGTTCACAGTGATAACAATGTGCTAATGATTTTAAAGATGGTTCTGGGAGTTTGACCCCTTGTAGGGGTATCTGAAGAGGAAAGAATCAAGTAGAGTTTGGAAAAGCATAATTAACATTTTAAATGGGTTTTTGTCTAGATTTGACTTTGAAATTTCAAAGAGAAAGTAAAGTGATATTTACACATATTAAAAAACTGATTGTAGGAGATGGTGGGAACCAGGTTTCTCACTGTTGGAGTGGGAAGTTACAGACAAGAGGGGAAGGCTAAAATGATTCATATGATACTGGCAGATTAGGGTTGGAGACATTGGTAAGTACTCATGTTTGGCTTAATATACAGATAAGGAAATAATCATAGATGTATATATACCCAGGGTAGTATATGCCTATATTTCTTGCTCTGTCAGGTGAGAGGGCCTAGAAGTAAACACACTTCATCAGCAAAAAGCAAACCTAACATCCAGATCTTGGTCTCTAATACCATTTCCCATAAAAGCAATGAGGGCTCCTTAGAGAAACGGCTCCTCCTAGACTATAGGAGAGAATATAGAAGATGAACCTGGAGCATCTTGTAAGCCATTAGGAAGTGCTCAAAATCTTCCAGCATTGATGGCGGTGTGTCAAAGAGTACAGGAGCCAACTGGAAAAGCTCCCAATGACCATAGCAAAAACAATTTGAACAAAATAAATAACACAGTATTGGATTATAACCTAAAGTATAAAATAAATATCCATGAGTATATGTATATTGATATAAATGATTGAATAAATAAATAAATGGAGAATAGACAGATTTCTCATGCAAAAGAATTCCAAATTTGTAAATATTTCTCCCTCAAGGAGATGGAGCATTAGCCCCTATCCCTTAAATGTGGACTATGTATAGTGACTTACTTCCAAAGAATACAGGGTGGAAAGGGGGAGAAAAGAATAACTTTATAGTAGAGACAAATAATACCTCAGCTAGATGATCAAGATTAACATAAGTCTGGATATACAATGAGAAAAGAAATAAGAGGCAGGTTAATTTCTCCTCCTCACTGTCATCTCTTCCCCTTACACATCGATTGCACAAATCTGGTCCACTGCTAAAGGTTAGATGTGAACTTTATGGCCATTTCCCCATGTTCTGTTTTTTGGATTGTTTATTCTTTTACAGTACTTTGATTTTTCAGTTTTGGCTTATGAGGGAGTTTGCTCAACATGGATCCAAAAATGCTTTGCTTACACCACTTCTGAGAATTAAAAACAGACATGATGTAAGTATCAGTGTTGATTATTTCAGAACAAAATAAAACACACAAATTGTGAAAAGTTAAAAGCAAATTTGACCTTAACCTTTGTATATACATACAGGTTGTGTAAAATTTTTATAAGGCTGGTTTCTAAAAATAATTCTCATTAGGTAGTAAACTTTGCATTTAATCTAGTGTTTTACCTCTTAAAAATAATACATATTCCACTTCAATTACTATATTTTTTTGACAAACCTCATCAGTATATATTGTCAATCTAGATAACTGAGCCCTCAAAAATCTATTTTCCTTACTTTGCTGTATAGGTAGGTCTCAATATATTTTACTTTTACAGTAATTAAGTGTATCTCCTCAGAGAATAAATTTTTTTCATGTTTCACTATTATGGATCCACACAAGTTACATACACATTTCTGATACTGAGATATCTTGTTCAGGATATCATGATCTATAGCATTATATAGAAATCAACATGCAATTTCCTAGCACATAAAGACCAGGCAAATTTTCTTTACCAATGCCAACATTGATGTTGTTTGGTGACTTAAATTTAAAACTACAGTTAACCTCACTATATGCAGTTTTTTAAAACCTACAATTTTGTGAACACATAAGAAATCATAAATCCTAATATTTGTTCTGGACCTCTGTTATTCATGACAACAAAATTTATCCTCTATGGAATGGAATAAGTCTGTTATGTATTAAAAAACTACTCAAGTTAAGCCTCTAAATATAGGCTTTGGCAGTTAAATATAGTTACTTTTTTTTTAAATATTTTATTTATTTATTTTGACAGAGAGAGAGAGACAAACAGTGAGGGAGGGAACACAAGCAGCAGGAGAGGGAGAAGCAGGCTTCCCGCTGAGTGGGGAGCCTGACGCGGGGCTCGATCCCAGGACCCTGGGACCATGACCTGAGCCAAAGGCAGACGCTTAACAACTGAGCCACCCAGGTGCCCCTACAGTTACTCTTTAAATGTTTGTATTTTTTAGCTTCAAAAGGGGGCAGGGGAAAGACCCTTAAGAAATGTTTTCAAACAGTGAGGACTCCTTAGCTTGAAAGCATTCATGCCATTACTATGTGAAGGTATTGGGGAAAAAAACTTAGTCTTTTTTCATACTCTCAACTGGTAGCAATCAACATGACTCTTAGACACCAAAATATTTTATGTGTCCAGAGTAGTCTTCTAAGAGGAAATGAGAATGTTTTGCAAATCACTGCAGGAATCATAAACAGGGGAGAAGGCAGAAGAATCCAGGGATGTGCCATAACACAACAGTCTTGAAACAGGGCCAGGTAGAAGAGTGGAAAGAATTATGCTTGTGGCAAGTGCAAGTTCATAAACCCCAGGTTCTCCAGGTTATAAGAGGCATCTGCATCCCCATGATGGCTAGTGGTCACAACACTGGACTTCTACCAAAAGTTGCTATTAGGTTTTTTTGTTCTCTTTGCTTTTTATATGCCAGCTGCCTCTTCTCATTGTCACCTGAGTGAGGTCTCTGCTGACATCCCCGGCGATGGTGTCTTTTA